TGAATGTCAATCCATAATGCCGATGATTTTACGGATATTTTCTATATTATGCTTGCCATAATTATTTTCTGTTGTGAAATGGTCGGTTTTTGACAAATCGCAAAAATAGAGATATTAATCAATATTCTTACTCAGAAATCATTTATCTCATTAGAGGCTGACGAAAATCCGTCAAAAATTCGACAAAACAATACAGTAAGTATATAAAAAGTTTTCGCTCTCTTTAATAATGCATAAAAATATTTTAAAAATTTGGTAAAAATAATTAATTTATATAAAATAATAGAAAAAGAAAAATATTTCATGTAAAATGTTTAATGAAAAATATGGAAAAACTGCTTATCTACTTTGTAAGATGAATAGATTATGTACACAATTTTGGTCGAAACCACATGTGCATGCGTAATGTTGACATCATTGTTCCGATTTTCAGAAAGGTAATTTAATGTGCAGAAAGTGGACACTGTATAACTACACATCCGAGGTGATATCATATATATGCTCGTCAATTAAAGCTCGACTATTGGTTCTATGAATGTTGCGTGCGACAATCTGATTTGTGGTTTATTATTACATGTATGCTCGATATTACATATCAGCTCGATATGGAGTGCAGGTTGAAAAACAATTTGCTTGGCCAAAACAACTATGTGAATGTGTACGTCAGCACGATTGTATATTTAAATTAGTTTCTTTGACAATCTTACAGATTGTAAAATGATTGAAAAAATATTTGAAGAATTGAAAATTAAATGATCGATAACGTCACATTCGCATAATTTTAGTTCTTATCGAGAACTATCCGATCTGCATAGTGTTTATATTTTTATATGTAGAATAATTAGAAGAATTATATACACATATATAAAAAAAATCATTCAATTCCATTCGAAAAGATAGAGATAGTATATGACTATGAAAACATTTTTTTTTTTAAATTAATTTTATCATTATTTGTACCCTTTCAAGCCATACAAATGTTGTCTAAAATGTTTTCTCGTATTTTCCGAATTTTTTATAATATTTGATTCATTAGTTTAAAAAGTTTTTTTTACTCTACATAAATATCTTTTAAAAATATTTTTAATGTAAAAATTTATAGTTAAATAATAAATTTATATTTTAAATAAATAAATATATTTTAAAAATATTTTAAAATGTTTGCAGATATGCATTAATAGTGAATGAAAAATTTAAGATAATAATATTGCTATTCAATTTATTGTGATCACACTGGTGATATGTTCTAATTTGTACCAATTAGCAAAGATGAAGTTCAACAAGCCGATTTAAGTGGATATTCCACATATCAAAAGTCTGCTTGTACGAATTTCATCATGAGTACATGTCACCAATGTAGCGCAACAAATGTAAAATTATGTACCGATACAGACAGTCTCATTTATCACATAGAATGCTAGGACGTTTACGAGAAATATGATATGACATATGATTGACTACGCAATGCTTTCAGAAAGCTTGAACGTGCAATATTGTATAATTTATTCAATATTTATGCGATATTTAAAACTTCCTTTATATCAAAATTGTTAGCCTTATTACAAATACTCCATCCAATCGATTTTAGGAATAAAATTTTCATGTGAAAAACTACTGTAGCAACAAAAATTGATATAAGAAAATATTAGTTGCAATTTCTTTTTATGAATCTTAACTACTATATTTTTTAATTTACATATTGTTTAACGTAGAATGTTCAACTCACTATTAATATTTTTAAAATGGGATGATTAACAATGATGCAAAACAGAAAACAGAATTTATTAATAATTATGAATCTCTCATTAATACCTATTGAATTTTCTAGCGCGTATAGTATACTACACAAATGTAAACAACAATACAAATGAAAGATAGTAAGCTAGGAAACTATATTTTCTAATTAAGTTATCTGTATGATTAATATTCTTAATCATCTAAGTTTCCTATTATCTATTATATAATGTTAACAAATAATTAAATAAGAATTATTGATTATAATATGCTTCTTCTTTTTCATTAGATTTTTATTTATAATCTTCTGTAATTTATATTGCTTTATTTTTACTTTTATTATTTATTTATTTAAATATTTTTACTTTATTTAATCTTCAATGTGGAAAATTTTTGATATAAGATTTTTTTGATATTTTTTCCTTACTTTATATATATAATACGTTATTATTTTTCAAAATAAACAGATAAAATGCAATTCTGCAATATTTTGACTAGCTCAGAATTAACTGAAGGTAATATAGCATATATATTTGCTTTACCTATATATGTATATTTAATAAGCTCTTTTAACCGCTTGTTTCCTGCCAGAATTATCGATCAATATGAGTAACAGAATTAACGATGACAGCCAGATGTGAGGCGGAATTTACGACACTAACAAATTCTATATTTTTTGTATGTAAGTATAGATTACTTACATTAAAATTTCATGGTGACACACCTTAATTTATGGTCTAGGGTTTCGTTGTCGACAAGTTTCTTTTCCTTTAAACCATTTTAATGTATTACCTAACAGTTTATACAAAGGTCGCAAAAAAGACACACAGCTATGCATATTATTTTACAAAAGTATTATTACCAGTCGGAATATATTACAAGTTACATATACATATATAATTATTATGACATATGTAGTTCTCCGCCATGGATTACAAAGAGAGAGAACAATGAATGCAGAAAGTACCGTTGCGTGTCTATAGACATATAAGATTTGTCGAAGTTCCGTAAATTGCTTTAAAATCAATGTATAATATTTACATGAAATTGCTTAATATTTTTTATTTCTGTAAGTCATTTATATTATTGAATATTATTTTCTAAAGTTAATGAATAAAATTATGTGCAATATTTATTTTATTTACACAATATCCATTGAATAAATTAGTTAATTATGCAAGTGATAGAAATTTATTCAATTACTAATCTTAGATTTACAATATAAAATGTTGCGTGCGTCACAAATTATTGTAAAAGTAAATCTACTGTGCTACACACACTCATATATATATACACACACACTCATATATATATGTACACTCATATATATATATATGTATACTTCACCAAAATAAGCGTAAAATTGTAGAAACGAGTAATTATGTTTGGCACCCCTTATTTCACGTGAAAAATAATACGACCAATTCACATATCTAATTTGATAACTATGACAACGATTGATTGCGATTGACTACAAAAATCGCTATATAATTATATATACGCACCCTTTTAACTTTCATTGTCCCTCAAAGTTAATCGAGCCAACGAGAAGAAAGCGAACGAAGCCGAGTTTTCTAGTGAACAATACAAAGCCTAGTGTTCATACAAAGGCAAGGCTAATATCTCGCCTAGATATAAGTGTATAATTATCCACAATAAACAATGTTAAATATATCTGGATTATTTTGCCTTGTACAACAATAAACATATTTTGCGTTTATTAAAAATAAAAAAAAAATATATATATATGAAGCACCATTGTTTCTGTAAAATAAAAAGCATTACA